TATATATGAAAAAAAATTACAATTTATAAGATATTTTTTATTTTTTTTTTTGTATTATTTTAATACCTACGCACACGCACGCACACACACATACAAATAGACAGACAGAAGCGAAAATGACGACTCACTACCAATCTGTTTCTGTCTCTCACTCACTCTAACAATTTCCGCGGGAAGTTAGTTAAGCCACATAACGAGCCGAGAGTAATTACTGGACGAGTAAGAGTAATTCGATTGTTCTCGTACAGGTCCTACCAGTCCAGAAGCCCATACTCGTAGAACTAGCAATCGCATTAGAGCTATCTGCGAGCAAACCAAGTTAATTAGTCCAACAGTCTGACTGACCTCCTTCCGTCATTCGGCTTAAAAAAAAAAGGAAAAATATAATTTCATTAGGAAAATGTCGCCGATCGCGTAACCCTTCGTTTATTTCATCCAACTAAGAATCTAAGTCTTGCACCTGTTATTATTACCGTGTGAATATTGAATATATCACGATCAGTCAAATATATCATTATTCCATTTTTTAATTCTCACATTTATTCAATACTATCAAAAAACAGTCACGTCTCTTTATCGTTTCTCTGAAAAGTCAACAACATATGGTTTTTGTTTCTCCAAGCGGGTTAACAATCATTCAAATTACCAACCGTACCCACGTTGTTTGACTTTAATGATAAGCCGTGAATTAGTTATCAAACTTTACTTTTCATTTACTTTACTTTACATTACTTTACAAACACACATTATTTTGCTCCAGTTAATTTAAAAAATATAATATAATTATCACACTAATAAAAAACATGAAAAAGTGAATAATATAATAATAACATTATAAGACATATATGTGTGTGTGTGTATATACCCATCGACGGGTTTTGCAATGATTATATATTTATAGTTCTACAACTATAATTTTCTTTTAATAACACTCTTTTTTCTTTTCTTATGGAAAAAGATTCTTATTTTTAAACTTATAAATAGAGATCAAAAAAGTGGCTTGTAAAAACTGATCATGTAAGTAGCTAAGTTCATTGTTTTTTCCATAATTATATACAGATATTAATAAATGTAAAAACTAATACAGGACATGTCTCTCGTGGTTATTTTATTTCTTTCGTTAGATTTTATGAGAATTATTTGTAATTGTGAATACCTTTTTTTAGGTTATTTAATAAATTATATTATTATTTAAACTATTAAAAGATTATTGATATGAATTAATTTTGTTGAAATGTTGATAGATTTAATATTAATGGCGTTAATAGTAAATCGTAGAATACCTAAGATTTTTCTTCGTTCGCGTGACGACGTCATATAAAAGACAATAAAGCAACAGCGATCACTCACCCGTAATTTCTGTTATCTCTTTCGTCTGTTGATTTTATTATCTTTTCTTTTTTGTCTTTTATTTTCAATTCTTTTCTTTTTTTTACCATAGCACAATCCATTAATTAGAAAAGTAATTAAAAAATTAGATTAAAGAAAAAAAAGCGCATCAACGACGTTCGTTGATTTTGAAAAAAAGACAATTAAAATTCATAGATAAATATTGTTTCTTTACACGTTCTCGCGTATAAACATATGTATGTAATACTAAGTCATCAATAAATTCCACGTTATCCGAAATTGAATACCATGAATAATGCATTGCGACGCATACTAACTTTGTTAAAATTAAAGAAATAATTTTGTTAACATTTTAAATATTTTTTCATTATTTATGAACGACCTGTATATTTTCCAGGATAACGAGTTTACCCCTATGGGGGATTTATCGGTTTCTTATTTTATATATTTTTTTTTTTCTAACAATATTTCTATCCCTTCGTAAACGAGTTTTCGAAAGTTATCTTCAAATTCAACGAACCTCGAGACGATCGTTTTCACTCACTTGCTCGAAGAAAAAAAAAGGGAAATAAATAAATAAAAAAGAAAAAAAAAAAAGGAGGAATCCTTTTTCCAAGGATTTTTTCTTTCAGCACGATTCCTGTTTATCTTTTATCAATATATTATATTTTATATTTTTATCCAATATAAAAATCAAAGATTCGCGAACGAAATTAAATTAGTATTTAAATTAATAATACTCTCTCTCTCTCTCTCTCTCTCTCTCTCTCATACATTTTTCAATATTTTATATTTTATATTCAAATAAAAAAAAGAATATAATATAGAATATTTTGTCTCTCTATCGTAATACAAATCGTAATAATTTAAATATTTAATTAACCAACGATGAGATAATTTTTTGTATCGAAAATTTTCCACATTACTTATCGTTCGATCCAATACATTGAACAATTTATTTGTTACGCTTTACAATATAACAATTTTCTTCCTACACAAAATATTATTATAACACTCTCTCCCTCTCTCTTTTTCTCTGAAAAGTTAATAATTCTGACATAATAATGCATTATTTTATCCATCAGTCAGAAAAGAATTAAAAAAAAATAAACGCATGTTAGACTTTGATATATCAGCTTGGATATATATATATATATTATATATAAAAATTAGATAGAGATACAAAATGCAATTTCCTAACGTGAATATTCTTTTTTCTTAGATATATTAAAAAGAAAATAGATCCAAATGAAAGAACCAAGTCGTCCCGAAGACACCGATGATCGATGGTGAAGAGGATTAAAAGAAAAGAAAAAAGAAAAACTAACCATAAGAGTTAGTCTCGACGACAATAGAAAGAGATGGGGATGGGGGGGGTTGGGGAATGTAGAAACCGAATCGGTGACCCACATTCGTGAAGAACGATTTTCAACGATTCCTTGGAAACATCGTAGGTAGTACCATCCATGGTAGGATTAATGATCCGATAATGTACCTAGTGGTCCGATTAACTTTACATCCTTGGATTAACTTTACGATAGAAAGTAAATTCAGTGTAGAAATATACAGTTACATGTAGGGGAAAATGGGGGAATGGAACGGTGGTGTCCCATTTTTATCGAACTCGTTAATATAACGAAAGAATTTGTTTTTGTCAGAAATCTATTTTTCTTTTTCTATTTTTCGCAGACAAAATATTCAGTCTTTTTAAACATTGCGAACGAACAAAATGTGCGCTTAAATTATTCATTTTATTGTACGAATTATTTATTTAAATATGAGTATTTAAAATTGAACGTAACGTATATATGGGTTTAATGATCAAAATGGGAAAAATTGTATAGATCTTTAAGATATAAATGTGAGATAAAATTAAAAGTATTTATATTTAACGACTATTAAAATGACGGGAAATGAGGTAAAAAGAAAAAAAAATAGAAAAAAAATTAGAAAGAGGAAGAGAACGATAAAAACACTGTGGCAAGGATATCGCGTTGATCCATTAGAACCCCATCAACCTAGAAGAAATCCCTTTGGGAATATATACCTTCATGCTGTTTTCTCCACAGAATTCATTTTACTCTAACGAACAAACATTTCCTCCTTATACAAGACCTGGAAAATTTCTCGAACAATTTATACACACGGGAGAATGTAGATTAATCATAATTCCAAGACAATTTCTATTTATATTTGTATTAGTTATTTGGAACGTTATATTTAAAATAATTTCTCTTTAACAAATAATCAATAATTAATATGTAAAAATATTTTGTAAAATATATAAAATAATTCATCAATATTTAACCAATTAAATTTCATACCAATATATTTAATTAAAATTATGAAACATTTTATTTATAATATCAAGCAAACACACATAAATAATCATTAACAAAAATCCTAATCCGAACTATTTGTATTCTTACGTATTATCAATCCGTGATATATTATATTAAAATAATCAATTTTCCATCGTTATTCGATATAGACGAAAATGTTGTTACGTTAAACTTTTAGCAACATTTTAAACATCCTATAAAATTAAATAATAATTCATTATTACGATCTTTATTATTATCATTAGTCGACTAAGCGTTGGCCCGTCTAGTTGAATTGCGTAATGACAAAGTTGAATAATGAACGAAATTAATTGACAAACGCATCAGCACCGATGATGCAAAGGGGTAAAAAGGGAGAGGAGTGATGGAGATGGTAAGCTAAAGAGGAAAAGAGATAGAGAAAGAGAGAGAAAGAGAGAGAGAGAGAGATGATACCAGAAAGGTATCATCGATCGTCGAATTTCACAGACTTGATCGTCGAATATAGTAGAACGAGTATGGGGAAATATATCGAGGAAACGTGTATAGGTAAAAGGGTTATGGTTATACGAGATCGAGGATATATAGGAATTATAAAATCGAACTCACGCACCCACACAATTCGGTGTAACAATGGAAAACGCGATCTCATTACTCCTGTATGCCAGTATTGTATTGGCATTAACGATAAATCGATCATGATATAATCAACGTTCGTCGAACCAAAGAAATCAGTATTGTAAAGAAAATTTCACATTATCTAAAGATATCTGAATCAGTTATATAACTGCCTTTTCTTTTTTCTTTTTTTTTTTTTTATGTTAATATAACATTAAAATTTTATCAAAATTTCTTCGACACCTATCGTGATATAGTATGTTAAGATTTCTTTATACTATGTTAAAACCAATAATAATTAATATTGGAATGGTTTGTTAATTAATATATCCACATATTAACTAGATTTTAACTGTAAATAACGTAATCTAACGTCAAATGGTATTATATATTATTAATAATCAATATTCTTGTCCCAACAGTATATTAATATATATGAGTTTCAAAGGGAAAATTGAAGACAGTTAATAAATTTTGATGAACAAATTTATTTGATCTTGTTGAACGTTTCGTCCCTTACTGGGGACTTCCT